CTCCCATCATCTCCCATCCCCTCTCCCCCTCCCATCCTCATCTCCCATCCCCTCTCCATCCCTCTCCCACCCTCATCTCCCATCTCCCTTCCCCTCTCCATCCCTCCCCCTTTCCCATCCTCATCTCCCATCCCCTCTCCATCCCTCTCCCATCCTCATCTCCCATCTCCCATCCCCTCTCCATCCTCTTCCATCCCTCCCCGTCCTTGGAGGACACACCAGTGTTTTGCACACACACACACATCACCTGGGAGAGACTGGGCTTTGGGCATCCCCCCCCCTCCCCACAGCCCCCCAGCTGCCTGCACCAGCATCTCCCCACCTGCCTGTGGGGGCCCGCAGTGGGGCAGGCGTTTCCCCCCCACACCTCCTGTAGCACCAGCCAAAAGCTGTGGGAGCTGCCTGCCTGGCCAGACCCCCCCACCACTGGGCTTTCGACCCCGTGCACTTGGGTCAAGCGGCACAGGGGATCCCACACCATGGTAGCCCTTGCCCAAATTGACCCTAAAGACCAACCTGAGCCACACACGCAAGCGGGGAACGCGCTGGCTCCGGCCAAGCTCTACGATGACTTTAGGAGAGCTCAGACCTTCAGGAGAGCAGGGGCAGTTAGCGCAGGGAACCAGGAAAGTGAGGGATTTCGAGCACAGTTCCCAAGCTGAGGCACCCGTAGCTTCATAAACTGAAAGAGGCACCACCTCGCACCTCCCGGCCAGAGGGCTCTGACCTCTTCCCCCCCGCGGCACGGATCGTGCAGAGGGTGAGGGACTCAGCCCACAACCCGGAGCGAGCTAGAGCCGGGCTGGGATGGAGCTCGGCTCACCAATGTGCATTCACGCTGAGTTCATCAGCTCCAGCAGCCCTGTTTTACCCTCTCCCGCTATTCCAGCGGGGAATCGTAACGCCCTCGGGCTTTCATGACTTTCCAGAAGATCTGCCCGTTGTTCCCGCATCATCTCTTGCCAGGTGAAGCGAGATGGACAGATCTTCTCCCAGCAGGAGGGGATGGCCATCAGAGCTGGCCTGACACCTCGGCACGAGTGGCCGAGGAGGGAAAGTTAATAAAAAAGTTTGGTAAAAGGAGATTGTGAGATGAAGCCGTGGGGGTGAGACGTGGCTCCGGGCTGCCTCCGCGAGCAGGAGGAGACCGATGGGCTTTGAGCACCGCTCAGCCACAAATGCGATGCCTGAGCCAGGGGAAGGAAAATTTCTCATTCCTATATTTATGTCACTATTTCTGCCTAAAAGATTTTTAACCAGTTGCAAGTAAACCTTTCACGAAAATCCTACTTTTGGGGGGATTTAAAAAGAAATCCCTGAAGAGACAGAAATCCTTGAAGGTTGGAGCATGTTCCTGCCTTCAGCAAGGAAAGTATTCCACCACTCAAGGTTGAATCTTGATTGGCATTCCCCTAGATGCTTGATGGACGTCGTCTTCTCTCCCAGGCTCAACTATGTATTTTTATTTAGTGAAAGAATGCCTCGCTTATGCAAAGCAGTCGGAGAGACAAGCACAGTACTTTCAAGCTGATATGTCTTGACACCTTCCTTGGAGATTCACAAAAAGCAGCGGCAGGGGCTGAAATTTGAAAATCAGATCTAAAACCCGCTTTCCAGAAAGGAAAAAAGCGACACCTGCAATTCTCTGTTCCGAATACCTGGCACTTTCCCTCCCCTTTTTTAGCCCGTCTTCTAAAAATAAAAGAGCCGGTTTGATTTCTGTTGAATTATAAATACATTTTGGCAGTCTGGCATCTCCTGCAGCAGATCAAAGCATGGGAGTTTTATTTATTTATTTATTTATTTATTTATTTATTTCCTAACAGGTTTATTTTTACATCCTCAAGCCCTCTAATTCTCAAGGATCTGCTACGTTTCCCTTCGTGATCCGACTCAGCGCGCAGCAAAACGCTCCGTCTGATCCCAGAGCCATCCTGTCCGGAGGCTCGGACGGAGCCCGGCCGCGGCATTGGCCCGCAGCACCGCGCTCCGGCAGCTCCCGCACGTTCAAGTTCAAGCTCAGAGACAAAACTCTCAGCGGTTATTAGAGCAGCGCAGCGTTTCCCTGCGCTCCGGGGCGCAGGAGCTCAGGCTGGATGCGCCCAGGGCATCGCTGCACCGAGCAAACCTCCATCCTGCGGTACCCACGGTCCTGGGTTTCTTACTGTCGGCAACCCCACCGATTTCGATGGGAATAACTGAGGAATAAAACCAAGTTCATGGCTACAGATAGCCCCAGGCATCAAATCAGCACCGGAGCGAGACCTGGGGGCTGTGGGGCTGGGCTCTGCTTCACCTCCAGCTGTCTCCCATCCTCAGCGGCAGCCAGAGCTGGGGATGGAACTGGGGATGGAGTGGGGATGGTGTCAGGGATGGAGTGGGGATGGAGTGGGGATGGAGTGGGGATGGTGTCAGGGATGGAGTGGGGATGGAGTCAGGGATGGAGTGGGGATGGAGCCGGGGGTAGAGGCAGGGAGGGAAGGGGATGGAGTGAGGATGGAGCCGGGGATAGAGTCAGGGATGGAACTGGGGATGGAGTGGGGATGG